CTGTCACACAGGAGTAACACATCACTACCACACATGCCGATACCCGATAACGTGCAGTTCGACTACCTCCCTACCCCCCTTTCCTCCTCTCTGCCTCTCCGCCTCTTCGCCTCTCTCCCTCTTTCCCCTTCCCCTCTCTCCCTCCCCCTCCCCTTTCCCCTTCTTTTCCCCTATCCCTCCCCCTCATCTTTCCCCATCTCTTTCCCCTCTCTCTCCCCCTCCCCTTTTCTCCTTCTATTCCCTCTCTCCCTCCCCCTCCTTTTTCCCCTTCTCTTCCCCTCTTCCCTCCCCCCTCCTTTTTCCCCTTCTCTTCCCCTCTCCCTCCCCCTCCTTTTTCCCCTTCTCTTTCCCTCTCCCTCCCCCTCCTCTTTCCCCTTTTTTCCCCCTCTCCCTCCCCCTCCTTTTTCCCCTTCTCTTCCCTCCTTTTCCCCTTCTTTTCCCCTCCTTTTTCCCCTCTCTCTCCCCCTCCTCTTTCCCCTTCTCTTCCCCTTCTTTTCCCCTCTCCCTCCCCCTCCCTTTTCCCCTTCTTTCCCCCTCTCGTGACCTGTATCGGCGCCGCAGACGTAACTCGGCCGGTAATTAGGTATCTCTGAACGAGTGGGATTTGTCTAATGAAGATGTCCGTGGGTAATTTTCTAGTTTTTTTCTCTCTGTGTCTTTATTTTCTTTCTTTTTCAATCATTGGTATTGGGTAGGTACTGTGTGTATATATATGTTATTGTTGGGAGAGAGGGAAAGAGAGAGCGAGAGAGTGAGAGAAAGAGAGAGAGAGAGAGAGAGAGAGAGAGGGAGAGAGCGAGAGAGTGAGAGAGAGAGAGAGAGAGAGAGGGAAAGAAAAGAGAGAGAAGGGGGAGAGAGAGAGCGAGAGCGAAAGAGAATTAGAGAAAGAGAGAGAGAGAGAGAGAGAGAGAGAGAGAGAGAGAGAGAGAGAGAGAGAGAGAGAGAGAGAGAGAGAGAGGAGAGAGAGAGAGACAGAGAGAGAGAGAGAGAAGAGAGAGAGAGAGAGAGAGAGAGAGAGAGAGAGAGAGAGAGAGAGAGAGAAAGAATATGCGAGTATATGTACGTGCGTGCATGCTTGTATGGATATGCATTTTTCACAACAAATTGTTCAATCTTTTATCCTGAAAGCAAGAATTACCGACAAATCAACAGCAAATTTTTTTCAGCGTTTAGAATAATGATGTCACTTGTTAGACGATTGATATATCTACAGCTTTATATAACAATTCTTTTTTTCTGTTAACTCTATTTTAAGTTCTGAGTAACAGCCGCTAATTATATGATATAATTACGTTGCTAAGGCCATTACGTCGGCAGAATAACAGTGTCTTCACAGTTGTTGCGCTGGGAATAATTTTTCGGTTTTGCACATCGTAAAATTTTGAAAATTAAAGATTATCGCTTTATTTATCTGTAGTCGGATTGTGTTATCATTTTGACTTATATTCAGACCAGGTGCAGGGCCGTAGATGGGGGGATGGAAATCACACGTACGCACGGACATACATACACACATGCACGTACACACACACGCTCGCACGCACGCACGGACCCATACGCACACACGCACGTAAACTCATACATGCGCACACATACACACACATACACACACATACTGTCTCACACACGCACACACACATACACACACACACGCACACACACACACACACACACACACACACACACACACACACACACACACACACACACACACACACACACACACACACACACACACACACACACACACACACACACACACACACACACACACACACACACAAATTCTTACACACAAACCCATTTTTTTCTCTCTTTATTTTACAATTTCGAAATGTAATTTGAATATACATTTTTACTATTAAGATCCATTAGCCATCCGCCATTTTGAAAAAAAATATGTAACCATTAAGAATTTAAGCACGAAATTGACTTTGAAATTACAGAACCGAAAGAGTATAAATGAAATATATTTATATTTATTTTATATAAAATACATCCAGCGTATTAATAAAGCTAATGATAATATTGATAATAACTGTGATGAAACAATACTATTGATGATAATGATGACGATGACGATGTTGATGATGATGAAGATAGTAATAATAATTTTAATAATAATAATAATAATAATAATAATAATAATAATGATAATAGTAATAATAATAATAATGATGATGATGATAATAATAATAATAACAATAATGATAATAATAATAATAATAATAATAATAATAATAATAATGATATATATAGCAGCAACGTAAATTATGATAAACATGATAAATAATTGTGAATAATAATTGTGAAAATGACGGAATTAACGATGAACACACTGAAGAGAGAAGAAAAGGAAAATAAATAAAAGAAGAAGAAGAAGAGGAAGACGAGGAAATAGAAGAAACAGAGAAGAAATCAGAGGAGGAGAAGCTAGAGGAGAAGAAGAAGAAAAAAGGGAAGAAATATAAAACAGAAAAGGAAAAGCCGGAATGCGACGAGGAAGAAGAGAGGAGAATGAGAATAAGAAGAAAACGGAGAAGAATAAAAAAGAAGAAGACAAAAATAATAAAAAAAATAAAAAGAAGACAAAAGGAGAAGAAAAATAAAAATAAAACAAAGAAGAAGAAGAAGAAGAAAATAGAAGAAAAAGAAAGACGGGGGAGGAGCAGAAAGAAGGAGGAGGAGCCAGAGAGCACAACGAGGGGGGGGGGGAGGAGGAGAGGGAGAGAGGTGGGAAGGAGGGGACCAGCGGAGGAGGGAGGGGGGGGGGGGCGCCGAGGGGAAAGGGGGAAATGAGGAAAGGGTATCCTGTGGCATCTCAAGCAAGCGCCACAGTATCCCACAGACCGCGAGAGGCGAAACATCTCACTGAGGAGAGAGAAGAGAGAGAGAGAGAGAAGAAAGAGAGAAGGAGAGAGAGAGAGAAGGAGAGAAAAGAGAAGAACGCGGGAGAACAGTTTATTTTATCTGTTGGAGTGAATTTATATTTTTGGCGAATAGAGAAGAACTTGAAGAACATTTTTTTCTTGTTTTCAATCAAATGAGGCAAGTGAGAACACGATGAAGAACAGTTTTATTATCTCATGAACAGAGAAACATGATAGAGAACATTCGTTTCCTTATCGAAAGAAGCGATTGGTGAACATAGTGAACAAAGAACACAGTGAATAAACAGAGAGAACATACGCACGAAAGGAGAGTTCTTTTGAACACGGAAGAACAGAGAACGAAGTGAAAAGTATATGTGACTAATCTGCTGTTCAAGAGAAAAGATAAAACACAAGATAACGATTACGTGTTTGGATATAATCAATAATTAATAAAAGTGTGATATCCATTTTCGAAAATTGAAATAAACACCAGATTTAAACTTGAACAAAAACACGAATGAGAAATATATATGTGAAAATCATGAGATGAACATCGCTTTCGGTCGTAGGTTGAAATTAAAGGTAAGTAAGTCTTTTATTTATTATTATATTCTTATCATTGTTACATTATGTTATTTCTTATGTTTTTATTTAATATTATGCTTATTCTGTATGTATATTATATTTATTATGTTTTTATTACTTATTATATTATGTTATTTATCTTGTATATATATTTTTTATATTATATCATATATATTATGTATGTATGTTATATTTATTACATTTAATTTTTATTAAATAATATATATATTCTTATTCTTATCGTTATTTCTTATTTCTATCATTATTATTTCATTAATTTTCGAGAATGTTTTATTTTATGTGAAAAAAAGTGTTTTTCGTTTTTGGTTTTTGTTCAGTAAATTCTAATATTAGGGGAAAATTATATATATATAAAGTTATAAATGATATTAGGAAGTGTCGATAAATGCAATTATCACAAAAAACACAATTAGGTGATCATACGAATGTTAAAATAATAATCATGATGATAATGATGATGATCAAAATGATAATTGTAATAATAATGGGAATAGTAATAATAATTATAATAGTAATATTGATAATTAATAGTAATAATGATAATAATAATAATGATAATAATAATGATAATAATAGAAATAATAATAATAATGTTAATGATGATAAAGGTAAAGATAAAACAATTATTATTATTACTGTTATTATTATTATTATAAAAATTATAATAATAAAAACAAAGCGTACAGAACCAGCAAACCGAAAGCAAACTAAATCATAAATAATCCGACATAAAAAAAAAACGCACATGCAACAATGAAAATTTTAAAATCAACTTAACAAAATAATAAAACCTCACTTCCCGCCATAACATAAATACGAACACACATTAGCGACATGAGTTCGAACGCCTCGAAGCCGACGCGACACATTCGAACACAGTATTGAAACGCGCGCTCGAAACAGCATATTTGCGTGCGTCCGTGGGTGCGTTTGTGCGTGCGTTTGTGCGTGCGTGCGTGCGTCTCTACCTGTGTCTTCTATCTTGTATTTAAAACCTCCTTTTTTGGCGTGTGCGAATACAGAAAACCCCCGCACAAATATCCACCAAATCAAGCGCGCAGGCAACGAGACACGAGCCACGAGACAGAAGAGAGCCAGTACTTTCACAACAAAGATCTTTTTTTTTCTCTCTCCTCCTGAGACAGTTCCAAGACAGCTACGGGAAGTAAACGGGACACCTCGCCTCGCGATTGTGGATGCGAGTCAAAGCGGGCCGGCCATGTTCGGAATTTGCGGCATCCGAGCGAAGCCAAATGGGAAGGTTTCGAACGCGTGGACGATCCACACCTGCCGCTTATCAAATAGAACTTTGGACGGGAGGGGGGCGGGGGGGAAGGGATAGGGGGATAGGAGGATAGGGGCGAGGGGGATAAGGAGACAGGATAAAGATGGATAGGGACGAAGGAATAGGAGGATAGAGGTTTTAAAAAGATCAGGAAGATAGGAACGAGTGGATAGGAAACAGAGATAAGGATAGAGACGAAGGGATAGGAAGACAGAAGACATAAGGCTTGGGACGGG